AGAACTCAAATGTCCATCAGCAGGAAAGTAGATAAATAAAATACATAGTTATTCAATAGAATATTACATAGAAGTAAAATGATTATAAACAACTATAAATGAAAAAGCAAGACCATAAGACTATACACAATAGAATACCATGTTTACTTTTGTCAAACACAAAGCCAAACAAGACATCACATAAAGATGAATAAAAATATGTGATAAAACTAAAATAAATATGAGCAAAAAAATGACCTAAAACTTCCAAATAGTTGTTAACTTTGGTATGGATGAAGAGCAATTATGTAGTGAGGTTGAGGATGGAATAGGGGAAGGGCAAGTAAGTAGACACAATTGTATGGATAATATCCAATTTTTTTATTGGTTTGTCCATTTTATTATTACGTGACTGACATATATTTTACAAATATTCTTCTGTATGACTCATATGATACATTTAAACAAGATAATCTCAAAATCAAGAACATCATGTAGAAATGACCATTTTTTCATGAGCAATCTTTTCCATCTAACTCTCTAAAATATTTCTTCTATGATGTGAAATGTTTCTGTTTAATAAATTTCCCCTTTGTTACTGTCAAGAAATCTTTTTTGGCTTGCAATTAAATGACTTTCATCTTTTCCCCAGAAATTATTCAGACATGCAGGAGTGTAATGCAATAAAGACCTTTAATTTTCATAGTCAGACTATGTTTTGGCCTCAACTAGTTTTTATCTTTATTATGTTATGAGGCATGGATTTCTTCACTGTGTTTCTATTTCCATAGAAAATGTTCAACTGGCTTTCACCCTTTGAGGAAAGCATGTTAAATAAATGTAGCGATACAGATCCTCATTTGATTGTTTTATGCTCCACTGGATGGAGAAAATGCATCTACCATATCTAGCACTAATAATAATAGAGCATAATATGGAATTTAGCATTGTCAAAAGTATAGAGGAATTAATAATATAATTTACATTTCCACAGACTTATTCATTAATTTCTTCAATTCACCTAACATTTTTTAGTATGTTCTATGTTAAACTTGTGCTGGGTGATGATAAATGAAAAAAGTACCTATTAATATTCCAGTATGATATAAGATGTGCGCAAAGAATGGGCCGACACAGAAGAACATTGATCCCTCTGGGACATATCAATGGGTGATCACTCTTGACAGATAAGAGTTGAGCTGTCACTTACAAAATGAACAAGAGCTCTTCAGCTAAACTTGGTAGAAAAAGAATTTTCTAATAGAGAGATCATGCACTAAGGCAAAGAAACGGAGAGGAAAAAAATCAGCACTTTTTTGTTCGATTGAACGGATGCCAAATGGCCACCCTCTCACTTCACAGGAATGCTAGATGAAATGTCGTATGCACATTGGAGGAACTGAAAATATGGGGAGGAAAGCCCCTAGATCTGGGAACAAGTAAAAAAGAATCTCAGAAAGCCAGAATGCTCTTCCTTCCCGAGGGGACATAAGGAACCAATCCTACCGATGCTCCCAGCCTGGTCAGCCTCCACCTCCCCACCCCCCATGCACCCCTCCAGGTGTCGGGGGGGCGGATGGCACTTATATTCAGGCATATTAGATAGAGCCCCCAGCTGTTAGCTGGAACCAAGTCATAAAACTTGGAGTCTCAAAAGGGCAGCATTGTCCATGAAGTGAAACAAGAAAAACAACCCAAATCTCTTTGAACATTCGTGCAAGAAAGCAACAAAGAAGCACATAAAAGCTGCTCTGGTGAGAGGGAAGGGGAAGAGTCGATCTGATCAAAAATTATAACCAATACTTGGAAATGAATTCCTAAGGGTAAGAGAGAATGGAATTAGTATTATATACAATGTACCAGATTATACCATGCTAATAGATATTAATTATCCTAATAGATGATAGAATAATCTGAATGAGACCATAAAATGAGTATGTTTACAATGACTAAAGGAATAAAGGAAGACATAGGAAACACGATGAAAAAACAGAAACAAAAAGCAGGAGACTGGAAAATGAAGATTTTTAAATTTAGCAGTAGCTGTTTTGAAATGAGAATTATAATGATAGCAATTAACAGATTAAACAACTGATGGAAAAATTGGTAAGATATATGGTAAGTCTAAGGAAATTACCCCAAATATAGCATATAAAGTATTAAAGATTAAGATTAAGAAATTATGTTTAACCCATTTATATATTTTTAATATAACTGATGATTTTATTTATATCAACTTTTCTATTTAATGTCACTATGCTTTTTTCTTGTTTCTTTTATCTTTTTGCCACATGAACATTTCCTTTTTTTCTTTTTGCTTTTATGTTCTTTATTGTTTATACTCAATATCAAATTTTTTAAAAATCTCTTAAATTTTATTTTATCAAGTCAGCTCATTCATTTTATCTATTTATTTGTTTTCATAAGTACATGTATGTGAGCCCTTATATTAAAAAAAGAAAGAAAGAAAGAAAGAAAGAAAGAAAAGCTCCTTTGGTGTGTGATAACCCTAATTCCACAACGTCTTCCCTTCAAAACTTTGAAGGTTTTAGTCCATTTTTCTCTTGATACTTAGTGCAGCAAAGCATTAGACTGAGGCTGGACTAATTTTATTCCTTCTTATACTTTTTAGAAAGTGTTTCTGCTGAATGAATGCTGATAGAATTATATTAATTTAAACAGACATTTCAACTTTCCATGCTATGTCTCAGTATGTATTTTTTCCTAAATTTTGTCCAGCAATCATCCAGTGTTTTCTAACTCATAATTTTAATCAGCATCAGAAAATTATGTTCAGCTATACCTTTGATTAATCCTTCATTTATAGCTGTTTTGATTTCTTCTTTGAATAATTTTATATATATATATATATATATATATAATTATTAGGTTACATCACTTCAAAGGATTTCTTACCATACCTTCGTCCCTTTTCATCTCAGCTTGTCACCTTTGTAGTGCATCTTGTTGTCCTTTTTTAAAAATGTTTTGTTTGTAATTACAGTTTACATTCAATATTATTTTATATTTCATCCTGTTGTCCTTTTATCTTTTCCTCGTCCATCTCTTCCTAAGGGCATTTTTGGAAATTTTGCTTACTGAATACTACTAAATGTACAAAATAGGATTTTATGATATTCTTCAGGAAACTGTAATTCTCATTATTCCAATTTGTGATATGTCAGGATGAGCTTTTTCTTAATTTCTGTTTTCTGTTGTTTTTGTTTTTCTTTTACAATTTTGACATTGATACGTATTGGGTTTTTTTTTACCCTTAAGACACCAAGTAGGATTTTGGTGTTTTTTTTTTTTTTATTCTTTAATGAATATTTGTCTATTCACTTTCAGTTCAGTAGCGATTTGAATCTCTTTCTCAGACTTGAATAGCAGATCCACATGCATCATTTGTAAATCTATTCTCATTTTTACTGAACAAAATTCCTCTGGCCTAAGGTATATCTTTCTTCTACATGTGCCAACTGGATTTCCAGTGCTTTGGATCAACTGAGTGTATGAAAATGTGCCACTCCCAGCATGCATTTCTATTAGGGCTCTTATTACCTTTTTCTTCATCCCTATACTTGTGGGAATTTCATTTCTGACCATGCAATAGGCTGCCTCCAATTTCTCTCTACACTCAGTTCTGAGAGATGTGGAAACATAACCAAGGAAGGGCAAAGGAACACTGATCTAATCACTTGCAAAGTGACATCTGTGTATTACAGAGATATGAATTTATATTTCCTTTGGTGTGTGTAGACTATGGGATCAGAAAATAAGGGACAGGCGAGTTGTTACTTCTATCATCTTTCTGGCAAAGGCAGCAGTTTTATGATATAAAGTACATGTCAGTCACACATTATTTTATTAATCCTTTGCTGTCCACCCTACAGACAGTATAAATACTAGATTCTAGCAACAGGTTACCTGTCAAAATCAATTTTTAGGAGCACGTGACAAAAGTATGCATAACTGGACCATGTCTCTATTTCCATGCTCTCTCTCACTCATCTAATTCTAGGGAAAGTTTGATTTCTTCTCCCTGCCACAACCCAGCATTTCACTATTGCCAGCCTCCTCGATTGCCAACACAGTGAAAAGTAACAACTGATTCACGTCTCAATTTCTAGCCTTGCAGCTCAAACTAAATAAAGGATGGCTACATAGACTCATGATTAAATTCATGATGTAGAGCTATGGGAGTCCGCACCAAGGTTGCACTACTTGGTTAGTATTGATAGCTATACAAATTCTTAGTCTCAGTCTTCCCACTAATAAAATGAAAATGAAGCAGTGAGGAGATTGCATGAGATACTATATGCGAGGAACCTGGCACATAGTAGTTTCTTAATTTATAGTAATTATTTGAATTAAAAGTCTGAAACTGTTTCTCCCTCTTCTGGTTTCTCTAAGAAAAAAAATTCTCTTTAGAATTAGAGAATAGAAAGATTCTTGTCTACCTTTTTTTATTAGTATTGAATGAAAGAACAGGAATTTATATCAGACTTACTATTTTTCAGTGTACTCTATTTGTTGTTAGCATTTCAGTTCTGATTTCATTTCTGTCTAGTTACTCAATACATATATAGTTGTCTTATTGGTGGAGATTTTGTTTAATTATAGACATTAGGAGAGTAAGGAATTCACCTACGTGGCAAATATAGACTCAAATTTAATTTGTTTAAATAGGTCACATTTATCTTTTTCCTACATTAACAGAACACTCTTAAATACAGAAGTTAAAATCGTCATACCACACCTTTGTAATTAACCATATCATAAATTCTTTGAAGGCCAGGATTAATCATACCTCTTTTGTATCAATTGTATCATATATCATATTTTGGACCCATTATAGCTAAAATCATTACCCTTTGGATCCACATTTTATTTCTATATTTAAACTATTTCATGATATTTTAATACTGATATTTGAATACAAGACATCTGATTATATTTTGTATCATTTAAGTTTCTTTGTTTACCATCAAGTCAGTTGGAGATATTCAGATCTAACTCACCGGTTGAGATATAAAGGTACGATCCTTTTTGTTGTGGCACTAGCTTTTCTTTTATGATCCATCTCAGACCCAAAATTCTTTTTATTAGGGTGTGGAGAACAAGGTAGGAGTATAGTGACTGGCTTCTGGAAAGGATGTGTTGATGGGTGCTGAATATGAATCAGAGGGCTGGTGGATAGTACCGAGGAGAAAGTATCTTGCTGCATTTTTAAATATGCCACCAGAGATGGGTCAACTGGTTGGACCTAAGCAAAGAAAAATATATATATATATACATATATGTTTCTATATTTTAATAGCAAAAGATTCAAAGTACCAGCATATTTCTAAACCTATTTTCTGAAAATTTGAAGGAATATAGTTTTAATACATTTCTCTATACATTGTTGGCTGAATCAACACTGCATTAAATTACAAAAGAGCACAGCATTTGGTCTCATTTTACAAAGTCTGTCTGAAATCTAGGTTCCCTGTCCTTTGTTATAAATAACTGGGAAACACTCTTAATTGTAGGCAACAACATGACCTAGAAAACAAAATAGACATTTTACATAATTTCTAATTAAACCTATTGTTAGATCAAGTGGTCCTTAGAAACTAGAAAAACAAGACTATATTTACTTAAGTGTTTCACATGAGAATGACTAATAATCAAAATAACTAACATTAGTCCAAAATGTCAAGTTTATGGAAAATATTTATAAAAATTAATTATTCATAGTATGTTTTCTTCCCAACTTTTCTTCCTCACCTCCCATGGTAGGAACTGGGAGGAACTGAAGCACATGGGGGAGAGTCGAGGCCAGAGGACTATTGAGGGAATATTGAGGGACTATATCTTCTGAATGTACATTGATACATCTTTATTCACCTTGCAAACAGTGTTGTATGTATTGAAGTCTTTAAAAATTCTTCCCCAAAAGGACTGTTTTAATTAAATATAACCAGATTTCCAAAACTATTAATATTTTAATTGATTAGCCTCCTTTTTGCCTCTCAGTTGGAAATCTTGACAAGATCGGGTGCATTCAGGGTGGTATGGCCGTAGACTCAGCTGGAAATCTTGAACCGTATGAATGTCCAATGCCTGACATCAATTCTATCATACTCAACATATGTTTTGTTTCTGTTTTATTAAGTATTTGTATGTACTTCAACTTTTAGGACCATGTTTGATGACCCATGAAGTCTATAAGAAGGAAATCACCAGTTATTAATATTTACCTTTAATTGTACAAGCACTGGTGAGCTGAAAACTCCTGGAGGGTAATACAAGGATATTCGAGAATCCATGCTTGGCTTGAGAGTAAGGCCTTTCTTTGTTACTGTGAAGGACTCTTTCTTTAAACAAGACACCACAGAAAAGATACCCAACTTGTAAACTTTCACTTCAGCACAGGTGCCCTGTATGGATTGAAGGGCATTAAGACACAGGCATTAACACAGCACTGCTCTTGGACCACATACTGTACACACTCTGTGGTTGTGAAGAAAACCTACATGCTCTTCCTATAACCTCCCACAACTGAGCATAGTTAGGAGTTTCTCAATTGTGGACTACCGAATAGAAAAGAGAGAAATCAATTTCTTTTTAGATTTAAAAGAAATTCCAAAAAGAAAATGTAAATGCATAATGGACAATCACATTCAGTATTTTTAACAAATATTAATTACTCCTGGAATCCTATTCTGCTTTAGTTAGCCAGGATGGACTTGAAATATTGGCCTTGATCCAGAAGATTGAACACTGCTTTAGGACTTTCAAGGACTGAAATTTCTTTGGGTGATTTACATACACACTACAGAACCAGTACTATCAGCAAATTCTTCCTTCTGACAACACACAGTCTCTTGGTCAAGTCTATTTTCTATTTCCTTCTTCCCTGCAGTGGGAGCAGTTGACTACAAAGGGAAACGTTTGTGTTTCTTTTGTATATAGTGACATTTAAATCTGTAATGCATATATGCAGGCACATATTCAAGCTTATTTTTATCACATAAAAAGGAACCATATGTAAATGAAAACACAATCTATTCATATAATCACCAAAGCTTAAAATGAGAAGGAAGACAAAAGTAATTGGATCTATTCACGCTTTCCTGAACGCCAGCCGGGCTCCGCCCTGGCATGAGTGGATAATCACACCGACACACACACAAATATTTCAGGGACAATGACAATGCAAACTAATCTATCATTTGAAAACTGACTAAGGAAATGATTTCACAATATCACTGCATGAATCCGTTGCTGGGAAAATCCAGGGCATGATGAATGTTCCTAATTGGCTGGAGGGAAATGGTGACAGGTACGAAGGGAAGGTGTTCTTGGAACCAGTGGTTGTTGTCCTGCATTTCAGGCATGTTTGACAGATGCTGGGGATTTTTAACCAGGGGAGTGTCATGAACAGAGTGCTGATGGTGGCTTCTCTGACTCCAGAATTACAATTCTTAAATGTCATATGAACCACATAAAAATTTGGAAATAATCCAGAGTTTAAATTTTCCTGAGCTAAAAATAGGGATGATCACCATTAGAATACAGTAAAGAGAAAAGTATATGCTTTTATTTTTTCCGGTAGACAATGGTTCTCTCTCTCTCTTTCTTTCTTTCTTTGTTTTTTGCTTGCTTGCTTGCTTTGATTATTCATTTGCTGAACGTCTTGTATACCCACTTTGTGAAAAGCAAATGCGTCTGAGCAGTTTTTGCTTTTATGACAGCCAGACAGAATGGCCAAGATTAAAAAGCCCCAATCAAGAGCTGTTAGTCTAGGCTTCCTAGACTAAATAGAAAATGTATTAGTTGCATGAATTGGAGTGAATAACTAGAAGAGGCTTAGCTTTCATATTTAACTGTATAACCTTATTTGTAACTCAAAAAAATAAAAGACCAAATCAGCAAAAGAAGAGATGTACTATAAAGAATTTCTTGTGCGCATGGAATTTTTCTACACTTATTCCCTGTTCTCCTCTTCAAATAATGACAATTTACATAAAGCCAAAAAGACAAATATTTAAAATGTTTCTAAGTAAGTTCAGTGGCCCACAGCAGAACCTTAAACTTTAGTTCCCATCAGATCTATGCCAAGTTTAATAATTGTGTATATTCTTTCTTCAGAACATATGGATTTGCAACCATAGAGGTACTTAGAGTTATATAGGTAAAGTGTATCATGGAAAAATGATAATGTTTACCTCCTAGCATGTGTTTTTAGGCTTCCTGTTATCTTCTTAAATCCCCAGTATTTTCTCTGGGGACCCTATCAGGATGATACTATTATTTGTTCATTTTTCAGATGAAGAAATTGAGTCATTAGCAAAGTTACATAATTTACCAAAATTCACATAGCAAGAAAGTATGGAAACCATATTTGAATCATTCATAACCACACCCTAACAACCACATATACTGTCTTCCATGTATGGGCTGAACACAATTTACAGGCTTAATAACTATCTCAAGGCATACAAACATTTGCACAATTGTTCATTTTAATATATTATCCCAACCCGTGAATGATAAAAATAAAGCTACTATCATCAAGGATTCTAATATTCTTAAATTTTGCAGAGGTCCACCACAATAAAAATCTTGGTCTAAAGACAGTCTAACTAAGGCATTCGCTAATTAAGCCATGGTATTGGTTTTGGTTCCCAGGTGAAAATATAACATTTGCTGGGTCCTAGAGTCAAGTTCACCACTCCTAAATTTGTCCAATAATTTCTGTCCTTTGATCTTTGTGGATGGCAAAAAAAGCATGAATGCACTAGCATAAATCTATCAACTCTTTCATTTGCTACCAATGAGTAATTATATCTATACCACAATCTGGTAATCAAAGCAATATTTAGAAGAGAAGTCAAACAGCTAGTGTAGATGTTGCCAATGATTTACCAACCTTGTAACTTCCTCTCATTCCTTCCAGTGAATTTGGAGTTAGGTAACTTGATTGAAGGTTTATGTCAGACATTTTCACCATGATGTCTTTGTAATTTCCCTTGTAACACGCAGTGAATGGGATTGCAATGCATATTGGAAATGGAATCCTCTTTTCCATATCTGAACACTCAACAGTGATGACATTGCTGACCAACTCTTCATTATCACTCACTATTAAAGAACTCATGCTATTAATTATTCGACATTCTAGATGTTGTAAAAGGTATGATTGTGCTGTGATATAACAAGCCACTTGGGGGCCCATATCATCACTAAGCACATCAAGATACCTGCAGGAGAAAAAGAGGACATAATTTTTGCAAATATTTGATTTATGTATTTTATGGGTAAATATATAACAGCAGAAGCTCTAGGATCACACTGTCTTCATGTGAATCCCAGTTCTCCCACATGCTGACTCTGAGACCTTGTGTAGTCTACTCAGCCTCTCTGTGCCTCAGTTTCCTCAACAATAACGTGGTAATAAAAAAATAAACAATGTCATAGGAAGGCTATGGGAATTAAATGACCTATTATGTGTTAAGTAATTAAAAATATGTTTCTAGAACATAGTATTTTATATATTAGCTATTATTGTTACTACTGTTATTACTATCAAGTGGTTGATTCATTCCTCAGTTTTGTTCACGTCACAATATGAACTGGAGGATTACTGAAGCCTCTTAATGAACCAAGTACTCACGCCTGAATAGTTTTGTAATTATTAGGGGAGGAAATGTACATCCAGTATAGGAACTGTCTAAACATATTGGATCAAATGATGCTGTTTATTCAATTTTTTAGAAAAACTGAGAAAGGTATAAAAGTACCTTATGATTAATCAAGGTAATTAGAAAGGGAATATTTATGATCCTTGGATAATCAATCCAAAAGCATGTTTTAATCAAAAGCTTATTTTGACTATTTATATTACTCTTAGTTTTTATACCATCACTGTTGCCAAAGATTTTACAGTCTTCTTGACTTTAAATTTGAGATCAGTCATTTGCTATTTGCTTGACCTTAAACATCAATAATTACTATTATAATAGCTAATATTTTATCTCTTTCTATGGCCCAGGTTTTAGGCTCTACATTATTTCATTTATTCCTCACACTATGGAGTGAGGCAGGCATATCATCACTGTTTTACAGAAAAGGAATCCAAGATTTAAAAATTTTAACCTGCTGAGATTGCACAGATGGTAAATTGTAGAATCAATAATTGAATTAACCTGTCTTGAACACAAAAGCTCAAACTTTCTAATATAATATCATACTTCCTCAAATCTTTCCAAAACCCTGGGTTTTTTATGTATTAGGTACTGAAATTAATATCCAATCCTATAGATATTAGCATGAAAATTAAATGAGGTGAAATACTTAAACTTCTTGTAAAATAAGTTAGAATAAAATGAATGCTCAATAAACTAGATTTATACATTAAAATTACCAACTTGAGTTTCTCCTCTTCTTGCTACTCTTCATGTCATACCAGTGAAATGATTGAAATATAGAGAACATCAAAGAGAAATGAGAGGATCTACATAAAATACAGCATTAATAATCAGTTTTAGAATTATCAGGTCTTAACTATTTTTCAGTTAGTGGTAACTTGAATTTTATAGTGCACTTTAATATAGAAATCTAAAAAATATGTTGAGATTGCAGAGAGGGTTATGTATTTATGTTTATAATTCTGAACCCATAAAGTCAGAAGGAATAGCAAATTGCCCAGCCTGTTGGTGTATATAAACATTCTCTGATGATGGTGATGATGGTAATTCAGAAAATGAGAAACATTTTCTAGTAGAGGATATAATAACCCAGTTTTTAAGAATGGCTCCTAGAATGGCTCTCTTCTGTGCCCTGGGGACCTTCTCAATAGACTCTCACGAAAGACAGACGAAACAGGGAGAGGAGACCTGTCATGCTTTCTCCTTCCCTAACCCTAATTAAATAGCTAAAATAATCACACAGATTTATTCTAATTTTGTTTCCTTTTGAGTCTGTACACACTAGGACAGCTACACTAGGAGAGACAGGCTTTCTTCAAAAAGCTATTCAGGGAAGAATCAAAACATACTGTGAGCGAGGTTTTGTTTATGACATTCATCTCTTATGTGGCATGATACCCTCCTAGCCTGAAAGATGGCAATGAGTAGTCATCTTAAACATGCAAGCTAAGCACAATTGGTTTGGAGGTCCCAGAGAGGAAATCAGTAGCTAGGAAACACCTAAAGAAGGGTGAGAAGGAGTGATTCAGCAATGACTCATTAGTTGAAGCTTTGAGTCATTTCTGAATGTGGGGATCTGAAGTGTTAATGTTTTTCTCAAGTGTAATGGGCAGCCACTTTTGACTACTTCAACAGTTGTTTTGCAGGGGCAGTAATTCTTTCAACTATGAGGATCTTTCATGCATTGAGTGTACTTCTGGCACACCTATAGAATTCATTTGATATTCAGACCTGTGGGGTCCTCACAGCTAAACTAGCCAAACGTCTTCATTTTATAAATGCGATGGCTAAAGTCAAAGTGAGCAAAATGACATGCCTGCCATCATAGACTCCTTTTTGGTGTTGTCCAGAAATGGTACGGCACATCTGAAAGCATCATGCATAGTAGCAGCAAGGGGCTAAGTGAAGGCTGGCCGTGTAGGGGAGAAAGTGACAGTTGCTAGGGCACAGTAAATGAACGCACTAACATGTAGCTGAACATGAACATCTGCAGAGTAGCGCAGAGCTGGGCCTTTTCTCATTTGACCGTACCAGGTAGTCCTGGGAAGTATATACAATTTCTACAAAGAGGAAAATAGGGCTCAGGAATAAAACAAGTTGCCCAGGGTCATAGAACTAGTTTGTCATAAAACAGGAGATAAAATGTAAGTCTGTCTAACTCACAAACCAATGATTTTTCCCCCCTGCTATCCTCCATTGCCTTCTAAGGGTGTTATTTTTGCTGGTAAATATGGCTTGTGAATATTTTATTTGAACAAATAGAGATAATCACCCACTTGTATTGGGGAGATAATTTATAAAATAGATCAGTCTTTCACACTTTATGAAGTAATAGTATTTTTGAGAATCAGCAAAAGCTCTACAAAGGAGATTACATTGGTATGAAAATATACATTCGATTTTTAAGAACGTCCCAAAACTTTTCCATGATCCCCCTAGAATTCTATAGAAACAGGTTAAGAATTCATGATTTTTTATAAATAAAATAAATCTGAGAATTTACTTAAGAATGTAAATAAAATAAACATGATGTTGGAAAATTCTCTCCTTAATTTTGAACACTTTGCAGCCTCCTAATTTTTTTCTTCTTATAATTGAAAAAATTGTGATTTTAAATTATCCCTACTTGGGACCATGGTACATTTTTACTACTTGCTAATATGATCAATTCCTTCCTCCTTTAAGAAACATTTAATACACTTGTTTTCTAAAGCTGTAAGAAACACACAATATTAGTCATGTTAGCCATATAAATTTTTATAAGAGTAATTTAAACTGAATTACTGATTTATAAATATGTTTTGGAGATGCAAAGTGGAAATATAAAACTTTATTAATGTATAAATACCATAAATACTAACTACAGAAGCACATATAATTAACAACTCTCACATTGATTGCATTTACTTACTCCTTTTCCATTATGTTATTTTTCTGCTTTAGACTCTCTGAGTCATCGGGAAGAAGACTGTTCACACATTGATTGGCTATATCACATGTTACTGAGGATGTGATAGCCTCTCCTCTTTGGTTTTCTGAGCCCTCTTGGATTTCTCTTTCTGTTGTCAGAATGATGTCATGCGTCCCTTCCCTGTTGCCATTCATGTTCTCCATAATCACGTGTGCTATTTGTTTACCAGCTCCATTTTCTGCATTATCTGGGAACATTTTGTCCTGTGACTCTTCTTGCCCTGTTACATCTCCATTCAATGATGTATTGTTTTCTTTTTCCACTGGTTCCGAACTCCTGTGTGTTTTATTTTCCTTTAACGGGTCCTGGTCTGTGTAATGACTTTCCCCACCATTTGTGGGAGAAACAGTAGCTGTTTCTATGACATTTTGTTCCTGTCTTGCAGCAATGTCTGTCGCTTTGATATCCTGAATGGCAGACATTGTCCGCTGTGGAGTGCATTCATCATGCGTGCCGCATAAATTACACATCTGCTTTTCTTCTTTCTTTAGAAGTGTAGCGGTGCTTCCCAAATGGTCGTTTATTTTCATGAGGCAGTCTATGAGGGTAACGATTTCTACACACACACACACACACACACACACACGACACGAAAAGAAGAAACACAAAACTAAACCAAGTTATGTTTATTGACTGACATGGAACAAAGTATGGTAAGATAACCTTAGAAACCTGCAAAGGCCCTTCCTGGACATTTAAGCCAATCTCCCTTCCCAAGAGGAAGTCCTTTGTAAAACTGCCAGTCTTTTAACGCATTTAAGAACTGGGGACACATTGCTTTTTAATTGTAGTAAAAACAGTAAATCAAATCCTTTTTGCTTGTGAAAATTCTTTGACTATTTGAAGACAAATATTATAACCTTCCCATAAGACTGTTCAATTGACATCAACATCCCCCTTTGCCATTCTTTCTTGGGTATGATTTTGAAACTTGCCCTTTCTTTTTTGAATGTACTATAGTTTATCAATTACCCATTTATAATTATTTGCCTAAAATTTAGTGAAACACTCTAGATAAGACTTGGGTAGAGGCGTACCACAGCAACACTATTTCTGCTGGTGTGGATGCTGTACTGAATATTTTGTTTGCTGTTATGAGAAGTGGATTAAGTTTGTACTTTTTCTCCTGCTGAGCTTGTGATCATTCGCAATTTCAGAATTAGCCTTTTAAGCAATAGCTCTACTTATACTGATTCTCTGGTTAGAAACTGCAGCAGCTATTGAAGGACCGCTAAACAAAGTCAAACCTCTTCACTCTAGCATAAACCCTCACCTTGATATGATCTGACATAACCATCTCTCACTTCATCCCCCTTTCTTACCATGCTCCTACTCATTTCTCCTCTCCTCACAGCTGGGGTCACCTAACACTTTCTCGCAGCCTTAGCGATTCTCCAGTCTTCAGAATTGAGCTCTGAACTATGGCATATGACATTTAAGGCCCCAAAACTCAGTGTCTTTAGAATCATCAATAAATTATCCTTTCATTAGTCGGGACTTAACTTTGGGCTCCAGTTCTGACAACTTGTTTTTTTGTCTTATATCTGAGATCCTGTCTTTATTTTGAACTTCTCTCCTGATAGCAGAATCCTTATCATTTTCTATGAATAGTTATGAATAGACTTAATATGTTGCCTGGGAGAACATTCAGTTCTCTGCAGAGATTTAAGTCCTGGTTATGACTTCCAGCTGATGGTTTCTGGGTCTGTTGTCTTTGGACAGATTTTCCAGATGCCTACCATCTGCCCTCTGGACTGCATTTCTAAGATTGTCTGTCCTATATTCCTCTTGATAGGAAATGCAATGCCCACCTGCTTCGACATTGTATTGTTTAGAATTGGATTTCATGACGCTACCCATCTTCTTATCTAGAGTAACTCTTGTTGTCTGAGATTACATTCATGAACTGCCATGTTTTTTCTTGCTGTCCCATACTCTTCAGCATCTATAATTGGGCTTATTCCCAAGAACCTGAACTTTTCTGTGTGTGTGTGTGTGTGTGTGTGTGTGTGTGTGTGTGTGTGGTGGGCTGGGGGTGGGGAGCAATTCCATATCCCAGCTCACCCCAGTCTTTCCAGTGTTTTTTGCAACTAATAAGTTCAAACACAAATAAGTCGAAAAATAGAACAGCACATTCCAATATACATAGAAAAACTGATATTCTGCCTCAAAGTAAGCTTATATTTTCCTACCTCTAAGTCCTGGATCCTGTTGATAATACCTCTGCCTGAAATGCTCTTTCAAGATTCCCAATTTCTGGCTGCATACATCCAATTCATTCCTTAAGCCTCGACGTAATTGTCACATTTATTTAGCAAAATTCCTAAACTCTCACTCTAAAAATGGGCTCTTTCCTGCTTCTGAATTTGTATGTTGTAATGGAACTAGCCTCAATTTTCCTCACATTATTGTGTATTTGTCTCATCTCATTTACCCTATTATATTGCTAGTCCCTTGTGGAGAGAGACTCTGTCTTAGCCTTCTTTGTATGCTCTCTAACCCCTCTTGGAGTGACGACCCAATCAATATTTCTTAGAGAAAGAATGAGTAAAATAAACACTTGCCTTGTCTCCAGGAACACTGACGCTCCTTGTCCAGCAGCACGCCCAGCTGCTGGCAGGTGGAGCGCAGCGTGCGTGCAGTGTGCTCCAGCAGCTGGTGCAGGGCCCCGCTGAGCTCCTGACCCAGAAAGTCCACTGTGGCTACCCATGTGGCCCCGCTGGCCCCTTCAGCGTGGTCACAGCCCAGGAGGGCCTGCTTCAGCATCAGGTTTTGTCTCCAAATCTGCTTCAATATTTGGCCTAGTTTACCTGAGCCCATATCTTCTGTATCCATTTTATGCTCCAAGAGTGGAATGCTTCTTTCCTGCCAGCAAAGCCTAAAGGTTTAGCAAATTCAAACTTGGCGATGGTTATTTCTCCTACAACCTAGGAGATGATCCAAGTCAGCTAGCCAAGCACTCTCCTGCAACATAATAGGTTATTCAGCTTCTTGTTGACCAGTGAAAAGTTACTAGGTGACCAAAGGAGGGGCGTCCCTGCACTCTGGGTGCCATTGTGTACAGAATAGACTAATCTCAGGGTAAAGTTAACTCACACTGTCCTGTTCTCCATGGAAGTTTTACGTATTCAGTGCACTATGGAAGCCCCATAGGCTTTTCTAGTTTCAAGGGAGCAAAATATAGATTTTTGTGGTAAGATGAGAAGTTTATTATCAAAAGCAAATTGTTTGAACAATGCTGCTGATAAGATTCCTATGTGATGCTTAAAAATACTTTGGGGTGAAATAATTCAGTGTTTGAATTTCTCCCGAATAATCTGGGCATGTGGGAGTGGTATGTAGATGAAACACAGTTGGTTGTAAGTCAATAATTGTTGAACCTGTGTATGATTACATGAGGCAGTCTTTGCAATTCTAATTAGCATGTATTTATAATTTGTTTAATTATAAGGAGTTTTAAAAAATATTACTTTGCCAAGGAAGAGTCTATTACCATAGATTAGGTAAGTTTAATTAGTACCTTCTTATATGGCATGTCTGCAATCATTGGGGTAGGTACTTGGCTTCTCTACTCTCTGATAATGTCATTAATTGAATAAAATACCCCTTCAACTCACAGAAAGCCAACCTGAAAAGTGGCTTTTTCTGAACTAGAAGAAGTCTTCACCATGTATAATTAAAAATCTGATACAGCAAGTTCTCACCATGGCTGGCCCTCACTTGGCACGTTATATATGAGGCCATTTCAATACCAGATTTGATGGGGATGGGGCAGATCCTGGGGATTTGCAGAGGGACCCAGAACATCCTGCCCCCTCCTTTCCAATTCCCCTCTTCCAATAAAGGAGAACACAGAGCCAGCAGGAGGGGACATGCATTTCAGACAGGCATGTGTTCTCCAGAGGCACTGGAACGAAATGAGAGCTTTCCAGAGGGGAGCTGGAATGCTTCCCTCCCACAGGCATTGTGTTATCTCATCTGAATCACTGGAGTGCTTAGAGCTACACTCATGATGCCTGGAAGATGAGATGTGGGAACGCAAACCTAGTGAATAAAGAATAAAGAACAAATGCCACAGGTCTAAATACTGCCCAAGCTACTTGTGGTCTGAGAGTCTGAAAGAAAAGGAAAGGAGCAGGTGAGGGGCAGTGGCTAGGGCGTGAGTCGGGGCTCTTTAGGAGAAATCTTATTTTTCACTCACCTGATTCATTCAGTTTGCTGATATGAGCAATTTATGGTATGAGTTCATATCTCATCATGAAGCATATTGTGTAAATACTTTTTACCTTCTTCTTAATACAAAAGACTGTCTGGCTCAATTTTTTTTCTTTTAACTCCTATAAAATGTGTGATTCTCAATAATAATGTACACATGGCTTTAATTCAATGCCAATTCAGAAAACTTTCTCTATCATTTGCTGGGAATAGGGCCTGTTAGGACTTTGGAGAGAGGCCGACTCAAGAACAAATTATTAAAATACGGCTTAGACTGTGTTGAAAGCTCAAGCAAAAGTACGATAAGCCGTACCGCAAAAGCTTTGAGGAGTGAAAAAATGGGTTCCGATTAGAGGACTGGGAGGCGTTTGAATTAAGAGCCAAAGGATGATCAGGATGTGTGCATCTTAGATAATGGAAGGAAGAAACACGTTCCAGCACAGGGCATAATATGATCACAGGCATGGAGGCATGAAATGACACAGATGATGAAATACAGGAAAGGATGGCCTCAGAGGAGACTTCAGTCAATGAGTCAGGGAAGTGACAAGAGAGTGTAATAATTATGTAATTATGGGGAGCCAGGAGAAGAAGTTGGAATTTTGTTTTGCAGACAAAAAAAACAAAAAACAAAACAAAACAAAAGAAAACAAAACACCTACGTATTTTTGAACCAAGTTAAAATATGAGCAGAACTTTGCTGGAGCAATGCAGGTGGTTTAGATGGTTAAACGTTGAGGGCCATGGGGCCTACATTAGAACAGCAACAGTAGAGGCCAGGGAAGGGGATGCTTGGAGAAGAGATTTGAAGTCAAGTGAATGAAACTGGCTAAATCATCATGAGAGGGAGAGAAATAGAAAGCATTGAAAATCCATCCATTCATTTATTTGAGGAATAGTTACTGGCAGCTGGTGCAAGAGCTCTGCTTGCTAGTGGACTATGGCAAAGACTTTAGGTGACTGCACAGATGATAAAACAACTAACTGAAGGAAGGAATTTAGGAAAAATATTAGGCTTCATAGGTACATAATTTGGTTAATTTTGGATTTGTTGAATTTGAAATAATGCAGGGAATTTTTTTTTGAACGGTGCTAGCAATTTAGAAGAAAAGTCAGAATAATATTGGTATATTTGACTGTCCTCAGTAAGTAGGCAGTGAATGATTACCTGGAAGGGGAAGAGATCAATAAACAATGTACACTATATACAATTTAAGCATTGAATAAAACTTATAATACAATGCTAAATCACTGGACCAATGTACTTTTTTCCCTTTTTGAAATGTAGGAAAATTCTTTCTCAGGACAGAGGGGGAAAAAACAACAACAAAATATTTCTCCTTTGCCTCATTGACATTCATTCTCCTCAAGTCTGAACTTGTTCTCTCTCTGGCTTCCCAAGAACATGCAGCATCTGCAAAGTGAGACCTTCCACAAACCATGCTGCATTTACTTGTTAAAACAAGCATCTGCATGCATGTTCCTGCGTCTTGTTTTTCAATTAACTGATGTCACTAACCACGGAAAGAACCAACATTTGCAGCAAGATTTGTGACACCCACAGATGTTAATTGCAAAAATTTATCTTTATGTGTTTAACACTTGATCAGCACCCTCATTGTGGCTACTAGTTATTATGACCTTTAATACTTATACTTTAGTTACTAAGAATTCTGTTCTTCCACTGGCATTAAAAGAATTCGTATACACACAATGCATTATGTGGTTGGAAAGACAACCATCTCTTTGATATTAAAAGCAGCAGAATAAATAGAGATAAAATTCAAGTAACTAGGATAGGTACTTGTTTAATCTCTCAGGAGATGTGAGGTTTCTTCTCTAGAGTAACTCAACACCAGAAGAAAAACACTATCAGTGGTGAAACCCATAGTGTCCCTTCCCCTAAGCCCACCCCCCAAAACTTGCTGGCCCTGTCCCTGCCAGATCGTCAACAATGAAGCACCCTGTCATAAACCCAATCTAAGTATACCAAGCTTCCAAACCTAATACTTCATTTTCAAGTGCAAAATAACAGTCAATGAGGTCAAGCATTTGAGAAAGATTCTAAATAATGCTAGAGAGTAAAGAAGCATGAATAAAAAACTTGAAATTTTAAAAAAAGAGCCAACACAAGGAAGAAAAGAAAATATCACATAAATCCATACTTAACGTTCTTAGAGTCTGAGACAAGAGAAAATAATGTGCCCACAAAATAAGAAAGGTTTTTCTAAAAGGGAGAGCTTTCAGACAATAAGAAAGATCTTACAGAAGTTAAAATCTGAAAACATAAATTTTTAAAACCAGTAGAAGGTAGAAGGAAGCAGCTATGGAAATCCCCCAGAAAGTCAAACAAAAAGACAAAGGAACAATATGGGGGGAAAAAAGGATGTTAAAAATGTCAACGTTCCAATCCAGAGAGAAAGCAGAAGAAAATAAATTATCAGAGAAATAGTATTACAAAGTTTCCCAGAATTGAAGGACCTGAAATCCCAGACTGAAAAGGCCCAGAAAAATACATGCAAAGAAACAAATAAAAAGTATAACTGGTCATAATATCCCGAATATTCGTAACATCAAAGACAAAGATCTTAATGGCCGTGAAAAAGGGGGAGAAAGTCACATTTAAATCAGTAGGTCTTGGATTTCTCAAGAACAACACTGAGACTTAGAATAAAAATAGAGTTGTGACTTCAATATTTTGAGAGCCACCTCTTTCTGATTTAGAATTCTGGTTCCCCGAAAGCCTCATTCAATGGTGCAGTGACAGAAAGGACATTTTGAGGTATGTAAACATCAAAGAGAGGCCTTCCATGTCTCTTTTTCTTGGGAAGCCACTAAAGTAGGTACTGTAACAAAAGCAACAGAGTAACACAAGAAAAAAGTTGGGAAAGAGAAAATCCAGCAAATAGATGTAAATCAGATGCCTAAAATGAAGCCTCAGGTGACAACAATGTCATAGGCCTCAAGAGCTCCTGTCCAGATCACAGCAGCCATCTGAACAGCCCAGCAGGGCTGGAGAACTACCGGATGTTTAACCATTTTAAGGGAAATTTTACAATTCTGTTAGAGATTTCTGGGAAGAAGTATTGATAACTGAGCAAATTCAATAAAATGAGAAAATTGATAAGCTAAATTCTAAAGGAAAATATATATAATCATAATACACTAGCCTTGCTATGCATAGTGTTTACATAGCCATAATAACAAAAATGTCTATAATTACTTTAACTAAAACTGTTGATATAAGTACATTATAAGGATGGGTACAGGGGTGAGTATGTGGAGAATGAGCATAGTACTACGAATAGAAGAGTAAAAGGTTTATTTTTATAGTAGAAATTCAAATATTTAAAAATAAGGATAAACTAAAAATAAGGATAAACAGATCTTCAACAATGAAGCACCCCGTCATTGTTAAACCCAATCTAAGTATACCAAGCTTCCAAACCTAATACTTCATTTTCCAAGTGCAAAATAACAGTCAATGAGGTCAAGCATTTGACTGCCACTCCTGGTTTCTAGGAGCTAGTCCAGGCCTATCAGCAGGGCCTTGGTGTCCTCCTGTTGAACATAAAGAATCTCACAGAACATCAGCATCAGACAAGGTCAAAAGTGATGAT